TTTTGTTTCATACAAACCTTTCATCTTGTTTGTTGGGGGGGGGGGGGTCATCTTGGATTGTTGATTCATCCGGTCATTGAGACTGGTCTTAATGTATTTTCTTTATCTATCCAATCCATTTATTTGCAAAATCTAAATCAAGAAGTCTCAAATCTCCTTTAAAAAAGATTAAATTTACTCATATATATCAATTTGCAGATTTTTTACTCCCATCTCTGGTATTTTGAAGAAATCTGGAATTTAGAAACTCGTCAAAGACCTGTCTCAATTCATCTTTTCCTGGAGATAGCTCATTTTCAACTTAAATACATGTGGCTGTTACAAAACTTTCTTTTTTGTGGCTATTGGATAGAAATGGTGGATATATGGGATGCTTATCTTTTTATTCATATTCATCTATCTTCCCAGCTTTTTCTTTTTGCCACAGGGGAGTACTTTATCTGTCCATTGACCTTCCATTTGGTTTAACTTGCGTTCCATACATATTCCGTTGAGTAGTCTAGTTTGTTTCTTATCTCCATACATTGATGTCAACTTTTACTTGGATGTCTGGCTTACTCTGACCCTTTTGTTCATTCAGTTTTCTACACTTAATTGACCAATTGTCTTTGGTAGTAACTGTGGAAGAGAGAAGAGTGTCAATGTAAGATTCCAGTGCTTGCATCTACAACTCATTGGTGGCTCATCCACATCTTTACATTTCATTTAACACCAACATAATATTTGGGATTTTGGATCAATGCACTTTGTGGAACACTTCAACCAACTTTTGTAGCTTGCAAGAGTTTTGTGTTCATAGACTAATGTCTTTCAAAGTTACTAGGAAAGACAATTTCTTTTGGCTTCACAGTCATTCTCTTGGGATATGCTTACCTGTGGTACCTCCAGTAGGATCTTGCTTCTCAGTAGCATCTGTCTTCAGAACTGTTGAGCCAAGTACAACCAGAAATATAAAAATAAATAATTTTGTGATTAATTGAGTGTCATAAGAACAAAAATTTATGATAACCTTACAAGTCAAGCAGAATGAGACCAAATAGATGTGATAAATTTGCTTTACTAATAAACAAACTTAAGTCAAATAAACAGACAGTTCTAAACCATCTTGAGTATTGGAAATGCAAGCCAATTTTCTCATTAGGTTTCATCATTTTCGGCTGTTCTAGAATAATATAACTTACTAACACTTTCCGTACAGGCTAAGTGTATTGCTTTAGCTTATGCAGATGAGAAACTATTGGAAGGAAGCAAAACAAAATGGACAGAGAAGGATGTGAATTTATAAATTTAAAGAGGTTGTAGTTACAGATGATTCTTTGATAAGACATACAGATAGAATAGTCTGTGGAGTAAGTAGGGGGAAAAGAATTAGATTATACTACCCAGGGGCATGGGAGGATGATACAACTGACAGAGCAAGAGATATAATGATGCAGTTTTTGTTGTGCACATATGGGCTAATGATGTAGGGAAGAGTAGGTCAGAGGAGCTAATTGGTAAGTACAAGGGGTTGATAAAGGCATCTAAAGAAAAGGGCCATAACTTAATTATGTCAGGGGTACTGCTGAAAATTAATTGTAGGGATGAAATTATAAGTAGGTTACTAGGACTGAATGCTAGGCTTAGATTCATATGTAAGGCTGAGTAGATTGGCTAGTTAGACTTATGGGATCAGTTTAATGGGAGAAGGGAGCTTTTTGGAATGGATGGTTTACATTTAAATAAGGTGGGAGCTGGCTTGTTTGCAAGTGCTATGAACTCGGCTATAAGAGAATTTTGAAACTAGGACTATACAGTGATGAGAGCCAGGGTAAACTAAATGCAGAAAAAAATTGAGAAAAGTTAGCATAGGAACTAAATATAGAAGTAGTTATAAGGATAGGTTTATTTTTACCGTTGTAATGCTTGAAGTATAAGAAATAAAATAAATGACTGTAGAGTGCTGGAAGGAATGAAGGATTTTAATATAATGGGAATAATATAAACATGGTTAAATAGACAATTTTGATGATAGAAATTTCTTTGAAGTACAAGGTTATAGGTTATTTAATAGGAATAGAGTACTAAAGAGAAGGGAAAGAGCGACTTTTTATGCTAAATGTGAGTTACATCCTTTTGAAGTTGAGGATATCAAAGATAATAGCAAGGAAATTGAGTCCATTTGGGTTTATATTAGAGGATATAAAGGGGAAAAGGCTTTTAGTGGGAATTTGTTATAGACCAAAAAATGATACTGATGAAATTAAGGAGAAATTTTACAGTGAAATTAAGATTTCAGCTATTAATGAAGTCATGGTTATGGGTGATTTTAATTTCAGGCATATAGATTGGGAAACAGTAAGAGTGAAACCATGAGGGAAAAAGTTTTTGTAAACTGTTCAAAATAGTTTTCTTCACCAATTGTTCAAGGAACCTACTGGGAACAATGCATTTTTTTTTATTTATTGTTAACTTCTAATATAGAGATGGTTGAGAGGGTGGAAATTAAGGAACATCTGAGGGCAAGTGATCATTACTATATTAGGTTTGATGTTTTGCTGCATATGGAGATCAAGAATAATGATATTCTGGTTACAAATTTCAAAACATCAAATTTTGAAAGGATGCGCAAAAATTATCTGTTGTGAATTGGGCAGCTGAGTTATTTGGAGACACTGATCAGATGTGGAAAATGTTTAGAAATGAATTTTTAAATATTCAAGATAAACATATTTCTTATAGTGGGAAAAGTAAAAAACCAGGTTTGTTCACAAAGGGTATAAAGGATAAAATTAAAGAAAAGTATTACAAATTTAAGAAATTTCAAATATCATAACGTTATCAGTATTTTAACTTACCTTTTCCGATACGATATCTTACTTCTTCTCATGAAAAGCTTTCTCGGCACAAATGTTTGCTCGCCATTAACCTTGATTCTCCCACCTACCCTCCCATATGTTAACTGAAGAGATATATGTATACTAACAAGCAAATGTTTATGCAGCAACCCTCCACCAATAGAAGTGTGATACTACCCCTCTCTAATCTTGCTGCTGTTAATCAATTCTCGTTTGGCTATCTTATTGAATAGACATGTTTTCACTTGCAGTTTCATTAACTTCTCACAAGTTTTTACTTTGTTAATGTTTTTACTTTAGTTATATTGTTATTTACTATTTTCTTTCTCTTTCGTGGGGAGTTATAATTTTTTTTTTCTCTTCTCTCCTATCAATTTCAAAAGTTATACACTCGCAGTTTCAGGTGGTTGTCACTCCATCTACTGTTACTGCTGCAGTGGATTTACTGACCATGTCCACCTGTCGGAATCACAATTCTCGGCCTATGAAGTGATGGCCTTGGTCCGTCAAGAGTTGACCATTTTCATGCAACAGTCAGAACAAACTGATGATTGTCCCTGCTCAGGGTTTAAGCAATTGGGAAGAAGTGGATTTGGACAGCCTTTTTTCTCCCTTCTGAATATGCCTCTCGGTTGTATGTTGATTCGGGGAACTTGTCTGGCCTCCTTCCCCTTTTGTAGAATTGATTAATCAGGTATGGTATATTCTGTCCTTATCTCTTGTTTCCTACGGTTCAACCCCTGCTTTTCTCGGGGATGAGCCTTTGGGTCATTATTTAATGTTTCCTCCTCCTTCCCTGTATAATGGGGTACATGCGAGTCATTTTGGGGAGCGCTTACATTCAGGGGTTGGTATGCCTCGACCTCCACATACTATGGATGTTTGTGCTTTTTTTGCTTCTCATCGTTCCAGCTTCCCTTATTTGGACTTAAAGCATTTGGTGTTACTTCTCCCTTTGTGGGGATCGGATCCCGATACTTTGATTACCTTTTTCCGACAACAGTTTTCCCATATTTGTCTTACTCAGACCACTCTTCTCAGGTCAGGGCCATTGGATGCCAGACTCCTTCCATTTGCCCACGATCCATGGGTTCAGAAAGCTGTTCCCAAAGGTCTGGTCCTCCATTTCCATTCATCTCCCGTGTTGTCATACCATCCCATTTCTTTCCCTCATCCTTGGGATCATCTTCTCACCGACCCTCCACCTGTTCAATGCGGGATTCTAGCTTTTTGTGACAAGAGGTAAGATAGCATATTGGAAGCTAACATTTACTTCAACTGAAAATGTATTTCCGATAGATACCTACCTCCACTCACATTTCCCATCCATTTTCCTCACTTCCTATGTAGTTTGGTGTGATCTGACTAATCTCGAACTGGTTAACAGCTGCAAGATTAGAGGCTGCTAGTTATGATAGGGGTAGTGTCGCACTCGTATTGGTGGAGGGTTGTTGCATAATAGTAACGTACGTGAGAGTAAATGGGGGTATCAAGGCTAGTAGTGAGTAAAAATATGTGCCGATAGAGGGCAGTATAAGTCGAAAGAAGCTTTTTGTGAGACTAGGTAAGTATCTATTGGAAATACATTCTCAGTTTAAGAAAATGTTAATGTTTACTTTTTTCTCTTGATTACTGGTGTGACATTTAGTAAAACATGAAATTACTACTATCACATAGTTGTTAAAAGGACCTTAATGTGATTGAATAGGACCAAGGTTGTTAAATCTTTGGCAATAGGCCTGCATAATCCAATGAATACAAGACACTAATAAATGTTTGATGAATCTTGGATAGCATAGCCACATGGATCATATTTTTAACCTTTTGTCTTGTCTTCAATCCTTTATCATTCATGGAAGGTTTTTTTCCATTACCATAATTGGAATAACTGTATGGGTGTTGATGGTAAAGGGTTAAAATTAATATTTTATTATTATTTGCTTATATGTTTGAAAAAAGAAATTATAGGATAAATCTGTTGATAGGTCATGAAACACTTTAAAGAACAGATCATAAAAAATATTAATGAAGAGTTTTGTGTTGATTTTGACTTTATTAGGAAGTTTTTGTATATAGATATCACTTAACTGCAGTAACTATGTTGATTGGTGCTTTCAGATTGGTTTAGTAAAAACAGTAACAAATTTTTATTCTTAATAACAGACTTCCTATTGACTCTGTGACTGGTGAGCCTGTCTTTGCTGAAGCTTCAGTCAAAGGGAAGAAGAAAGAAGCTGTGGTTGCTTGTGCTCTAGAAGCCTGTCGAATTCTAGATCGCCATGGAATGTTACGCCAATCCCATCATGGTCTCTATTACATGAGATGCTAGTATATTCCTTGTTGTTTCTTTTTTTTACTTTGAGAATCTTTTATTCAAAATATAGGTGTGCCGTCAAATACTGATATTTTTACAAGTATTGCATCAAAAAGTTTTTCATTAATGTTGTAAAAATAATTTAAAGATTTGCAGTTATAAAACAAAGATATATTTTTTGCTTTTTAACACTAAAAGGATTGTTCTGAGTTCCAAATTAAAACATCAAAAGCAAAAGATTATATGAAGATTTACAATTATGTCAATGAGAGAAAACATATTCTGATTTCTTAATGTCAAGTTTTCGTGTACTCCAATCACCAATGGTATTTAAGCATATAATTTTAAAATGAAGACCTATATTTGTCAAGATCCTAATAGTGTTTTAAGTTTTTTCATGTTAAAAACACCAGGACATCTTATAAACTTCATCTTTAAGGTTTATTTATGGAAAAATTAAAATCTTGTTTGCTTAAAATCCTGTAAAAATAGAAACAAAATCTGTGTTATTGACTAAGTAAACTGCAATTTAAAATATATTTGGCATAATTCTAAATGATAAAAGAAAATTAATTTGATATTAAGGCATTTCTTTGAAACACAAATGAAATTAAAATTGTTTTTCCAATTTTTGTACTTCAGATTTTCTATTACGATTTAATTTACTTTGTTAAGAAAGTTTTCATTAGTATTATCTAACACTTTTCTACTACCTAGTCATTTTACTTTTCTTGTGTTAACTTGCATTTGTCTTTGAATTTCAAGGGAAAACAATATAGTACACGAAACACACTCCAAATCTAATATGAGGTTTTATTTTACACTTATAGGTCATGGCAAATTAAACTGTTTGAAAGGTTTGCATGAAAGCATACATTGGCTTGTAGAGCAGTTTTTAGGCTTTACTAGTAATTACTTCGTAAATCCTATAGATCTCCCTGTTATAGATTACTTGTAAATCAACCTTACCTTCTAGCAAATACATTTATAATGTTTACAAGTAAACAAACCTTACTTCCTTGACTCCATTTTGAAGGTTTACTAACACAAACTTTATATTCAAGATGCTTTTAACCTTCCATACTTTTTAGTTAAGTGATTAGCGATTAGCTTTATACTCCTAGACTTTATATACATGTAAGTTTACTCATGCGCTGGACCACCTTATATGATTTATTATTAAAGTTTATCCATAAACTCATGTTAAGGATTTGCAAGATTCCTTGTCAAAATTTAATAGTGAATAAACCTGACTTCTAAGATTGTTAGTAAATTCAACTTAGTTCTTAGGAGCAGGGAAAAAAAATCATTGTATCACATTTGTTTTCCGAAAGATGAATAGTTCTGATTTATGATTTTTGTAAATTTAAAAACACTTTTGTATTGTAGGAACTGTGAAATAGTGTAGAGGGCAAGTTGTAAAGAAAATTTTTGTCAGTCATTAATGTACTTGTTTGTGAACTGAACTATTACAGTTATGTGCCTTTTAATACCAGTGAGAAATTTGTAATTAGAAAATATTTGAACCTTTATGTGTTTTATTAACTGTTAAACTAGGTTTTTCAAGTTGATTTCTAAAAACTGACCTTAAAATATTTTCCTGTGTATATGACTACATACATCACTATATATGTATTTAGTTTTTACTAACAAGTTTTTATGACATAGTTTGTTTCTTGTTTAAGAGATACTAGTTTTCCAGTGAATACTGATTCATTTTTACTATGCAGTTATTATCTTAGTTTACAGATCTTTTGCAAATAATACTTAGCTTATTGTATTCACTGGAGATTTTGAATTTTCTAGAGGGTAGAAAAAGGAAACAAAAACATTGGGAAGAGGAAGATTTCTATGAAAGTGATGAAGATACATTTCTAGATAGGACAGGAACTATAGAGAAGAAACGAGAAATGAGGAAAAAAATGATGAAAAAAGAAGAGATTGTTGAAACCTACGAATCACTGGTAAGTACCTATTAACCATGAGGGTGTTATAATGTGAAGATCAATCCCACTATTTGTTGGTGAAAGTGGTTCAAAAGGTTGTAGATGCTGCCAACCAGTTGACTTCCCTTTGGTTAGTTGTTCAAAATAAGGGATGTTGGCATATAGTTTTTGTAGCTTTGCTTTAAATAAACAAACAAGAAACTTTAGATTAACAATGTGTTTTAGTTTGCAGAGTTAATTTTTCTATAAAACATTATTCCTGAAACGTTTTTCTTGTATGCTTTCATAAGTTATTAATCGCCTAATTAATTTTTCTAGCTTTTATGTGATACAGTTAATGTATTTGTACATGCAATCATTAGAAACATTTAAATAACAAGGTATGCAATTTACATTAAATGATAAGACTAGGTTGACAAGCATATAATGAAGTCATTGTAATAATGAAACTTTGGCCTGTAGTATGGTATTTGTAATTCCAATTTTGGAATAAATTCTAAAAAACGTTTAGGCTTGTTCATCCTAACCCTTATGTTTTTGGCAGAGTATGAAACATCCATTTTAACATGAAATTTTTATACTTAAAATATTCTATTCAAAAATTTAAAAGAGAGTGTGTGTGTGTGTAAGCTTTTATATTTTAGGCCCTTATACTAGCACAGTAATTTTAAAATAAGTATTTCACCCATAAATAAATTTAGAACTTCCCTATTTTATTAAATAACTTTCTTGGAATATTTTAATAAACATGTAGTATAAAGAAAGTAATGTAAATATAATGTTGAAATTGTTTAGCTCCATAAGTTAGAAAATGTTCAGAAAGAAGTTCAATATATTCAAGATAGGCTACAGAAGAAGAATGAAACAGGTAAGATAAATCTTGTATGTTTACCTAAACTAATTTCTTTAGCATATTATTTAACCCTGTTGCTACGGGTAGGGGTCAGAGGGCATGTCATCACATTTGTAGACTTATATTCAAAATTTTATTGAACTACTATTTTATGAATGTATGTTAATAAGTTTGGTATCAAATTGTAGATTATAATTCACATTTCAATATAATACATTAGTTAATTTCTTAATTTAAAAGTAAATATTAAAACAAAATCCTAAATATCAATTTTTGTGTGTCACATGGTATGTTGAATGCAGCTTTGGCTCAAATTAGATATTTGTGATGTCCAAATACAAAGTCTATAGTTTCTTATGAAATAGAAACTCAAATTACCAACACTTACAAGCTATAATATAATATATGAACATTCTATCTTTTCTATTTTGTGAGATATTATTATATATAGAAAATCAAACAAGTTGCCCCTGCCCACCTCTTTCATCTTTGGAAATGCTTGCTTACGTACACCTACTTCACTGTAGGACATTTTTATAACTAATTGAAAGCTCAGAATTTCTCCCACATGGTCTTATCAGACTTTTCAAAGTGTTTTTATAGGAAAATCTGTCCTTTTCAATGTAGACTTGCAGAGGAGAGGTCAGATGAAATGGTGCTTGAAAATGATATCTTTTAGGCCCAAATACAGCTTAGGTAATAAGCCTGATTAATTACAGTGGTATTGATATAGTAATTTATGATTCTTTGTTATTTCAAAATTCATATATAAAACCCCCCAAAAATTATTTTGTTTTACATACTCCATGTGGAAAATTCAATAAGACTTAGCAAATTGTGGCAAGTGAGTACAAATTTTGTAAATAGAAGAGATCATTGTTCTATGTTTTAACCAAAAATAACTGAAATACAAAACTTGATTTACAAATAGTAATAATATATATAGATATGTAATGTATTACAATCAAAATGTGATTGTATTCTACAAAATACTGATCCACTAGAACAAAGCTAAGACATTTGCATTCTTTGATAGATTGTTTAGACAGTGTATTCATGATGAAACTTTGTAGAATGGATAGCAACTGCCTGTTATAGAGACACAAGTGTAGAGGATGATGTTTTGAAAGTCTTCCACCTTTCGTCTTCCAGGCAGAAGACTATTAAAACATTGTCCTCTACACTTTTGTCTCTACAACAGGCAGTTGCCATCCATTTTACAAAGTTTCATCAAGACTTTTGTAATTTGTAAAAACCATTTTTTCACTATTGGATGTGGTAACATAAAGCTGTATGTGCCTGTGTGCAACTTCTGTAATGCTAGTCAGACACAGCTAAAGGTCAATAAAATAAAAATAATACATATATATATACTTATATAGATGTATAATGTTATGAGATTTAATCTACTTACCATAAATATTTGTGATTTTTGTATTATAATTTGTAGTCATTCTAGAATGAAAAAAAGTTTAATTGATCTATTTCCTAATATTTTATGGTGGTTACGAGGTCGGTCAAATCAACCAAATCTGTACAGAGACAAGATAGAGAAAATAACATATAAAATATATAGTTTTTTTTAAAAACGTTTGATAGTTATATAGAGGTTATAGAGATTTTGCATGTGAAATTTGACAATTTTCTGATGCACAAAATTATTTTTAATCTTAAAATCAAAATTACTTTGTATGTTGGATAATCAACATTTGAAAAGAAAAAATGCATGAGGAAATCATTATTTAAAAAATCTTAAATCTTAATTACAAAATGTGATATTTTGTGTATGAAAATCTTGCTTACTGATAATCTGCAAATTTTTGGGAAGATATGCATACAATTTAAAAAGTTACAGTATAACTGCTTTATGGTTACTTTGATGGATACGGGCTGTGTGGAATCCACCCAGACCATAGTCAAAATATTAAACATTTTATTCATAATTGTTATGTGATCTTTCAGTAGAGAAATTTTGGATTTTATAGACCTTAACCTCTTTCACACTTTATGGTAAATCAAGACCGTTATGCTAATCTCAAGTATGAAAATCAATATGTAATGAAGAAAGGAAAGTTGAGGTTTTTTTAGAAAAAACAAAAGACTTTCCAATTAATGAAAGGAAGTAAAACGTGAACATATCTACTTTGGGGAGGGGGTGATATTTTCTTAAAATATTGGGAAATAAAATAAATATGACCATATAAGAAATAAAACTAATGTCACCAAAGTGAACTCCATCTTATCTCAGTACAAATGAGTATCATTACCAAGGATATACTGTTGATGAATACAGTGTAGGCTCAGTTCTCTCATATTTTTGTCTTCAAAGTAAAGGTCTACTACAAAAACCTTTCACTTAAATCATTTTTGTATTGGGTAAATCACTGATTTTTTTCTATGTTTTTGCAACACAAAGTAATATGTATCCCTCCATGTGCTCAAAATTATACAATCAGTACAAGCATAGTTTTTCTAAGAGCTTCTTGACCATTATTAAAATAAACTGCAAACAAATGTCAGCGTCTGTTCCTAGTGCTAGTAGGGAACATAATGAAAACAATTCTACTTAATAAGATTATATCTTTTGTATGGCAGTGAAGTTACCATTACACTGTTAGTTAAAATGAGAGCCAACAGTTGTCTGAAAGGGATGGAAATATGTAACGTAAGAACAACAAATCAAAATATTGAAATTACCTACTGCAAACTTCAGTATTTTTCATAATATGCTGACATGTAATAATTAAATAAGATACAATGAAATTAAATGTATATAAAGTATTTCATACAAAAAATCACCTTACATTCAGCTGTCACATGCCTGGTGTACTCTTCCACGTGTGTACAATTTTGTGTACTGATCATGTGGCCATGCAATCTATTTAGGAAAACCATGCACTGCAAACAAGGGTATCATGTGTATAAAAATGATAAATATATGTCTACAGCAGATTACTTGAACTTGTGAAATAATTCCATGAAAATTGATACTTTCCCCATGATGCTGTCATGGATTTACTAAAAAAATATATCCACAGTTTTCACAGGGCATTATCTCTGATATAAATGCTCCAGGAAAAAATCCTTAGGTTTGCTGTGGAGTCTTGAAAATATTACTTTCCAATTATTGCTGTCCAAAAATGAATTTCATTTCAATTAACACACTTTGTGTACTGAATTTTTATACAATGCTATCTCCTTTCCATCCCTGTATATCCTAAGGCACTTCATTTTAGTATTTTTTTTTGTATAAGATGAGATTTCCAGCTGTTTCCTTTTTTTTCAGTATAATATCTTGTTACTTTTTAACACTAAATAGCTTCCTTTTGTTTTAGGCCATATACCACTTAGAAAAAAAAGGCATGGCTGGAATTAAAGTTTTCTTTTTATTCAATTAAAAATTATTGTGCTACTATCATATTAATTAAAGAATCATGAAATAGAGGGATCAGAACTAGTGTATCATGTAAATTTACTACTGTTTCATTCCTACTTCAGATGCTTGGAAAATCATGCATTAATTTTTTAATGTGATAAAGTAGTTAGAGTTTCTAACTGTGCTGCTGGTCTGGATGACTTCTTTCTCCATTAATGTTCCTGTGTTCATTCCATCTGGAGGCTCATAATTACAGGTCAGCAATGGCACCAATGCCAGTGTTGGGAAAGATAACTGTTTTTAAGCAAGTGGGGCCTGATTTCTGAACAGAGAGTGTGTTTCATGCTCCAGTTCATATAACACAGCAGAAAATGACAGTTCATTAGCTTGTTAAATAGCAAATGACACAACACTGCTTGCATGTTTGGAGGACTGCAATCTCCTTCTCAACATTCATGCATGTAGCCTACTGTTATCATGCCAAATATAGTTGGCTTTAGGTGGTCTTTCTTCAGAAATTACAGTTTGAAAGTTGTACAAAGGAATTTGGCTGACAATTTCTACAGTAGGTCCACATCTAACATACCAGTGCTTTAATCAAAACCCCCGTTTTAAAAATAAAATCAAAATAATTGAAAAAATTGGATCTTTGGGGAGGGATGAATGTAGTGAAATTTCATATTAAATAAAAAAAGCAATAACAACAACATCATGCAAATGTTATAACAAATCTAAATAACCCATTTAACTCCTACTACTTAATTCAAAAGAAAATATTAAAAACAAAATACTAAACATCCTTTCTTTTTGTGTCACATTGCTTATCCTCATCTTATTGATCAGTTTGTATTGTATTATGCCTAACATATAATGTCTATAGCATTTAACAAATTAAAAACTCAAATTTCAGATACTGACAAGCTAGAATATAAAATAAGAACCTCCCATCTCTTTGATTTCCCGGGCTATCAATATATTGGTTAGACCCACCTGGGTATCACCCTCCACTACTTTATTCTTTTGAAACCTCTTGTTTGATCATGCCTACTTCTCTGAAGTACATGTTTATAGAAAGAGCACATTTACAAATTACGTAAATTTTACAGCTGTTTGTAATTGGCTTGAAGGTAAAACATGTAGCTGACAGGAGATGTTGAAGTTTATTGAGAAATTTTCTGCTCTGAACAGAAATGAAATTTTTTTAACCCACATATAGCATAGTTATAAAGCCAGATAAATTACAGTGGTTTTATATATATACCAGTGTAGTAATTTGATAATTTATTGGTTTTCTAAAATGCATCTTTGAAACCTACAAAAATTAATTTGTCTTCTCTTTCCACTTGAGAGAATGAATAAGTCTTAGCAAGTATGATGCTGTGAAGTTACCATTACACTGTTAGTTAAAATGAGAGCCAACAGTTGTCTGAAAGAGATGGAAATATGTAACGTAAGAACAACAAATCAAAATATTGAAATTACCTACTGCAAACTTCAGTATTTTTCATAATATGCTGACATGTAATAATTAAATAAGATACAATGAAATTAAATGTATATAAAGTATTTCATACAAAAAATCACCTTACATTCAGCTGTCACATGCCTGGTGTACTCTTCCACATGTGTACAATTTTGTGTACTGATCATGTGGCTATGCAATCTATAATTTTGTAACATCAAAGTACTAAAAATCATTGTTTTTCTAATTATATAATTCATTATTTATTATTCTGTGTTTTAAGAAAAATAACTAAAAATTAAGTACTTAGGAATAAATAGCAATAATAAATAAATAAATAAATACTGCTTCAGTATACTAAGCAGGTTGCTATTTGCTCTGCCAAGTGGCATCTCATCTCTGCCAAAGTCAAACTGATGTCTTTTCTACCTCCTGTATAGCTTTAAGGCCTTACCACTTAGTTCTGTATTCCTAAGGTGTAAAAGTCTTCCGTTACCTTGTGTAAATAAAGCCAAACAAACATTTTGTTGATTACATAGTGCACCATTAATTACTGTGTAGTATGGCTACTCTCCTTTAAATGCTATTCCTGAACTTCTGTTCCCTGACTTTTGCTCGTATTGTAAAGCCTTAAACATTATCTTTGTTCATTCCCAGAATTTGTGATAAGAATAGTTTTTATTGAATAATTGTGCTAATGATACACTATATGTAAGTCTAAAAGTATGTAATGAAAACTAATACTTAAACTGTACTTAAGATGTTTAAACATCTAAATGTAAAGTATTTTATACATTACCTTTTCAAAATATATATTGGATGTTCAAAATGATTCAACTTCCCTGAACTTAATTTCTCATTAAGGATATTTGGTTTGCATTCTCATACAGTACGGAACAACAAGAACACTACCAAATTCAATTTTAAGTCTCAAATTGTAAAGTGAATGCAGATAAACTATAACCCTATTATAAGTTAAAATTTCAGTAGTTTCTGTATAAACAGGAATTTTAAGCTTCAAGTAAGGTTATTGAAGTTTGAGTTAATTAAAGTTGAATGAATCATGGTGCAATTAAAGTTTTGTTTCTTTTTCTACAACTAGAGCTTCTCAATATGAGTAGTGGTCAGGACTCACTAGATGCTTTCATGTCCTCATTACAAGATAACTTTACTGACAAAAGAACAAAGTCAAAGCTTCAGCTTCAACTTTCTCAACTACGCCAGGAAGAAAAAAAATTACAGAAGCTTGTTAATGCAGCAAGACCAGCAAATCTTCCACCACTTTTATTGTAAGTATATGTGTTAGAAATTGCATAAATTATTTCAGAAAGTGCACAGTATTTGTCTTTAGGTGTTCTTCTCATTCTTTTAGGTAAATTTACTTCCTAACAAAGAAATAAAAACTGACAACAGTTTAAAGGTAGGTTTAAGTTTCATAAATTGTTTAAAAGAAAAGAGAGTTATTTATGAGAATATTAATATACCATTACTATAATTCACATGAAGGTGTACTTATAAATTTTAGTTTGTTTGTGTAATTCTAATCATTTTATACAAAATGGTGAATCACCCCTTTCCTCAACATTCTTGAAATTTTAGTAGCAAGGAAGTTCCTAAATCATATGATGTATTAATAGGATTTATTTAATACTTGAAGTATCAGAATCTTTAGGAACATAGAATTTAGACTTCTTGGAATGAAAACTTCTAGGTACTATGCTAACAGATGTCTTTGAAAGAATAAATATATGTTACATTTCATTAGTAAGCATGACTGGGACTAAACTTTTATTTGTGTAGTGTAACATTTTACTGCATTGTCTTGCAGTGTATATAGGTGAATTTGAACAAGTTACATTTAGGACATTTTACAATAGATGTGTCTTGTTCAAAGTGTTATACATTTAACAAAACTACTGTTCCTTACAGTTTTGGAAAATTATTACACCAAACAGAAAATGAATGTAAAAGAAATTAACATGAATGCATTAAAGCCATAAGTATTTTATACAAGGTTAATATCAGATCTTACCTAATGTCTTAGAGAATCCTTTCCTAAACTGTTACAAAATTAACAAGTAAATACAGAGATTTGATTTTGAATATATCCAGAATTGTGTATTTTTATGTCTAAGATCTGTGCAATTCTGTAGTTAATTCACTTAAATAATAAAAATTAAACATTAGCAATTACAAATGTTGTATGTATGTGTTTGTAGATTTTCAATATCTGTGTATTTCTATAACAGTCACCTGTTTAACTAACCTGTTTTGTCCTGCTTATGACAATGTTGATCAGTGTTACATTTTTTTAAAGGCTTATGAAAGTTTATGGCTAAAAATGCTTTTGTTTTTTTGTTTTTCTTTTGTTTGCCATAGTATCTAATTGGTACATCTTTTTTGGATGATGTTCATGTCTATTTGCATGTAATATTAAGTTTTTATTCTGTTTATCTTTTTAAATGAAAAATATGCTCAGTACATTTTAATCCACTTACAACTCAGTGTTGTAAAAACGTTTCAGTTTAATACTTTTTTTTAATCAGTGTATTCAACTGTTTTTAATGGCGGTTTTGTTTGTTTGTTTTTAAGTGCAACGGGCTATTTGTGCCATGACCATCATTAATATTGAAACCCAGTTTTGACCATTATAAGCCTGCAGACTTACTGCTGTATTACTGGAGGGCTTTTAGTGGTGAATGAATATATTTAAATATAACACAGTAACTAAGTAAATACAATTAGAGGTGGAACTAGTCAATTTGTTTAACATCTGTATTTATAATTAAGTTATAGTTAGCTGCTGAACATACACTGGAAATACTAGAAATCTACATTTGAAAGTTAAGTGAAGTTAACCAAGTTTACATATACAAGATTAATTTTTGTTTACAATCTTCCTCTGGCACTATTGAAAACTTAAGTAGCATAAAATAAGGCAATATAAATGAAAAATACTTGTCAGCAAACTTGTAATATATATACTTCTGTCATGAAGTACCAACAAATCTTGGATGCAGTTAGTTTACATTTTTCAAGAAATTGAATGTACACATTCATGAACAGCTTATTGGCAGACACATTAGGTTAGTGGTCATTGTTTTATCTTGTCTTCTTTAAATAATCAATAAACAGACATATGAAAAATATGATTTTTTTTCAGAAGCAACCTAATGCTGAGAGAGTCATACTAATTTTCAAATAATTTCATCCAGTAGTTTTAGTGTTGAGATAGAATCAGTGCATATGGACATTTGAGACTTAAAGTAATACTGTGAGAGAATATCACAGGGCTACTCAGAAAAATTAATCTATAAAGAAAGTACATTTATGATTCTTTTGTGAAAGAAATTCATTTGGATCAATATTGCTGTTTGTGGAAAACACAAATTAGATCAAACTTGCTGCCAGTGGCAAAAAATTTAACAGAATTATATGCTGTTATATGAAATGTGTCATCAGTTTTACCTTTCATAAAGCTGTGTAATGTAACAAATAAATTCTTAGGTGCTTAATAGTCAAAAGTGGGAAATATTCTGCTATATTTATATATCATGCATAATCATGATGTATTTATGTCAGAATTCCTGTTTGATTGTACTTATATATATATTTTTTGTCCAGGGTCAACAAATACCATCCAGTATGTTTATCTTGGTAGTCGCAATCATTCTAGAATCTCTTAATTGTGAGCATGGATATCTTTTAACATTACCTTGAATCACTGTGTGATTGAATCTTCACCCTGTTTTGAGTATCACTACTACAGTTTAGAAACATGGACAACCCTGGCTTCTCAACCATGTCTCTCTGAGGCTAAGGTTGATGTAGAGAATCCTGTGGTTTTCTGTACCCTGATCACTTTAACTCTTGTTTATATATATATATAGTTTTAGATGCCTTAACTAATTTGATATACTATGTCTAGAAAGAACACTTGCATGAAAAGAAGTAGATATCTGTAATGTTGAAATGCACAGTTGTTTATGTACAACTGTGTTAATACTGTGTATTAATTTACTATCTAAACTTGTATAGTTAGGTTTGGTTGCTGTGCAGCTATATTTATATGGCATTTACAGAGTCATACAGAATATTTGCCTGCACAACTGTGTTAGTGATTTACTTTAAGATCATCACATACATAAGATGCTGGTATAAGTACATTGTTGTGTTAACATAATTAGGTCTGTTTTCTTACTTAACTGTATGTAAATGTTATTTGTAGAGCAAATATATAGACTTAGATTCTTGCATAATACTATTTTATTTATTTTACATACTACTGACATCTGTTTGCTCATCTATTTGTATGTTATATAATATAAACATGGAAATACTTGAGATGCCTAAACAGCTATACACCGATAGTTTCAGTTGTATATTTTACATACTACTGACATCTGTTTGCTCATCTATTTGTATGTTATATAATATAAACATGGAAATACTTAAGATGCCTAAACAGATATACACCGATAGTTTCAGTTGTATATTTTACATACTACTGACATCTGTTTGCTCATCTATTTGTATGTTATATAATATAAACATGGAAATACTTAAGATGCCTAAACAGCTATACACCGATAGTTTCAGTTGTATATTTTACATACTAACTGACATCTGTTTGCTCATCTATTTGTATGTTATATAATATAA